AAAGAACTGCTTGGTGAGATTCTTCACGACCAGTTTATAGAGGATCAGAAACGCCAGGGCAAGAGAAGTAAGAATATCGTGGAGGTTGATGATAACCAGGAGACGACAGTGATGACGGAAGAGAAGGCTGAAAATGCCGCACTTCCATCATCAGGGTCAAGATCTGGCCTAACCAACGCCAACAGCAACGCCATCGTCAATATATACGGCAACGCGGGGGCGCCAGATCGTCATCTTCAATATCCTAACCCATACGTACAGCTGCCGCCGCCGGCGCCGCCGCCGCCGGCATATTGGCCATATGCGAACATCTCACAGTATTCGTTGCCAACTCTTCCGCCATTGAACCTTCCAAGCACTCGTCAACCAAGTATCGCACTCCCGATTCGTTCGTCCTCGCCAGTGGTACCGGATTCGCCTCGAAAAGCTCTAGATCAAGTGGCCAGCTTCATCAAGTGGTTTATATCCGTCCGCGGCAAGCGATATAACGTCGACGAAGGGTTCAGAAAGAAGCTACAGAAACTGCGATCAGTAGACAGTAGCTTGCGGGCAATTCGCAAGTTACCAGATATTTGGTTTACTGAACAGGGTTTTACTCAAGATCTTACCGAAGATGTCAGGAACTCGATCAAATCCTTCATAGACAACAGCGCCTACTACGGAGGGCAGTCTGACGCCCTCTCCGACGTGGTATCTCACTCTGAACTTCATTCAAACCATCGAGAGTCAGAAGGAGATGTTTATACAAGAATATACGCTGGATTGCCAGGAGGGACGGCGGCGGCGCCAGTTGAAAACTCTGCGGCGCTAGTTTCAGGCGAGTTGGGGTCATCCCGACATATCGACGCCCTAGTGCCACGTCAATCCATCGAGCAAGAGATCCGTGGTACGCCAGTTGAAGTTGGTCGACGTGGTGAGTGTATATAGAGCTGTTTACTGTCGAATATGGCTAACTTTGTAGGCGTTTCGGAACTCTTTGGTTTCGTTTCGTCACCACTGCTGTCAGCGTCGCAGATGCTGCCCACGCAGTTACAGATCGAACAAGACGAAATCGAGCAAGGCGATGAGGACAATCAGATTGAAATCTCGAGTGATACGTCGTCAACAGAGACGTATTACTCGGAGGAGGATAACGAAGAAGAGTGATACAGCAAGAGTGGTGTGAAGTTTGACTGTATGCGCGATTTTTTTGCATGACGTGTTCAACCACGGAAAAGTCTACCCATAGCCGTAGATTCAACACTGCCGCTCTATACGTATAAAAGCAATAGAATTACTGTTATTTTGGATCTGCAAACAATACACTTCGGTCCATCCCGATACTGGTTAGGGGCAGTTGAAGTCTCTGACTATGGTTGAAGTCTCTGATCGTGATGACGTGTCATCATCACAAATCATCGTCACAAGCATCAACAACGCGTTTCAGCCGTTATACAGGCAAAATTGATATGTATACGTAGCTACCGACGAAAACAATGGACGACGGTATATTTTTTGTGTTCTGGTGCGCTTGTGGCTAACCTTTTGGCAATCTTGTTGGCTACAATCATGGATTTGATGATTGACCATCATATGACGACACGATTAAGATCTATTGCGCGCGAACGCACGATGAAAATTTGGATTGCTTGCTGATGTTCAATATTGGCAGCAAATCCTCCCTTTTATAGTTCGATATCGTCAAATATATGCTCTGTCCCATCAAAGTTGACGAACGAATGGCGGAAATGGCCCTCGATCTGGGGTAGACGATACCCAATCTCCATAGCGCAGTCACGTAGATATTCCATGAAATCCCGAGTGTCATTCTCATCGTTGTTCCACTTCGAATACGTCTTCCTGATGTATCGCTTTAGATCGCCGAAGTACTCTTCGATGGGGTTGAAGTCTGGTGAATACGGAGGCAGAAACTCGAGATGGACACCTGATACCCGGCATAAACCCTCGATTTCAGGTATACGATGGCAGGAGAGGTTATCCATAACGATGACAGAGTTTGGCTCTGGAAAACGCCCACATTTCGGGATAAGGCACTCCTGTAGCCAACGAAAGAACCCATCGCCGTCAGTCGTACCATAATACGTAGTCAAGTGTAGGATACCGCTCAACGTGAGGGCTGGCAGGATCTGTACGCGAGAGTTCTGAAACCGATCAATCTCTGCAGTTCGAAACGCAGCAAGCCCTTTCGGCGCCCATCCAGTCCTCCGTATCCCAGTATCCTTATTGACGCCGGATTCGTCGACGAATACCAGCTGGTCGGGGCGATATCGTCGTATACGGTACAAGTACTCGTATCGTAGTTCGTCACTTCGCTGAGCAGCAATAATCTTGGACTTCTTGTTCGTCCAGCCAGCTGAGTTTAACTGTCGACTGATTGCAGAACGACTGATCTGGATCTCGAAGGCTTCAAATAGGAAATCTTGCATCTCTTCAAGAGATAGATCGCTGCGGTACTGCAGTAGTTCAAGAAGCTCTGTACGATGCCATATTTCCATCTTTTGTCGACTCTGGCGGCACCTCTTATATCTCTGCACTTCGCCAGTGATATTACGTCGTGATCTATGTCGTCGAATCGTTCGTTCGGTACAGCCAACGATACTTGCCAGCTCGTGGGTCTTTTGGTCTTCGAATGGCAGTATCATCGCGATCGTCGATAGCTGTAGATTCGATATTCTGGGCGCCATTGTATCGTCGTCGTCGCCCGGCGTCTTTCTCGATGTATCTGATATAATAAACCACGGACATGTACTGACCAGCGGCAAACTGTAAGTAACAGGGCACAATCTATACAGCAGTAGACTCTTGCTCAATATCGTGAACAAGCTGAGCTATCAGGAGAGTCATTAATCCTGTTGACTGCCAAAGCATTTGCTCTGAAGAACCGTATCAAGCCCCTTGGTATGCTTATATATTACTCAGAGCCATACAAACCGTATGCTGAGTAGATATATAAAGTCATACAGCAGGTCTCTTCTTCTGTTCCTCAGCAAATGTCATCTTGATCTCTCATGACGAAAATAGACCTTTTGTTGGTCGAATGGTATGGGGATGAGGTGACTAGCTGGGTTGGCAATGCCTCGATGGGTAGATTGACTGCTACGGAAGCATGAAATACACACCTTATGTCTCTATCGTGTAGTTATACGTTTGAATACTACTGGGACTATAGTGATTGACGGCAATTGAGGTGTTGGTGATGACTTTGACGCGTTTTGCGTGCGATGCAGAGAAATGCGCGTCACAGCGTAAAATTGGCTTTTTTTCATGTTTTTGCATAAGCGGGGAAAAAAAAGGGGGGCGGACGCTGTCAACGCAACGGAGTGTACCAGATCAGGAAAGGCTTCAACGCCTCGGTGTCCCCACTTATTCGGCCCCCGCTTCGGTGCCGGGCCACCGGTGAGTCGCCCGCGAGCCTCCGTCCACCAGCAGATCCGCTCCGTTGACATACGTGGCATCCGGGCCCGCCAAAAAGGCAACAGCACCGGCAATGTCGTCAGGCGTCCCGATGCGGCCGAGAGGAACGCCTTTGATTATGCCCTCCAACATCGATCCCGCGGCTGACTGCATCACCTGGGCGATCATTGGGGTCATGGTGACACCGGGGCTGACGGTGTTGATCCGGTTTCGTTGACGGCCCCAAGCAATTGCAGCATGGCGAACGCGAATTATGCAGCCTCTTTTTGAGATGGAATAAGCGTCGCCTGGGTCTCCGGCGAGGTTGATGTCTGCATGGTTGAGGAGGTCGGTAGCAGAGGCAGTTGCGAAGTGGTCGTCCAGAGCGGAGTTCGGCTTCTTCATGTGACCCGCCATAGAGGCTATCACGGTCAAAGAACCGCCCGGAGCCATCAATGACTGGAATGAGTCCATGATGAAGGCAACACCAAGGAGATTTGTGTTGTAAATCAACTCGGCATTATCGGCTGCGTTGGACACACCCGCTGTCACCACAACAGTCTGAATCGGACCCAGCTTCGCTGCAGCCTCCGCAAAAGATGCCACCGATTCCTTTTTGGAAACGTCGATTGACTGGGCCGTAAATGAGTGGCCGGCAGAGCGGAGCGAGTCTTCGGCGTTTGAGAGGATTGCAGGGGAAAAGTCGGAAATAACGATGTAGTGGGACGGACCGAGCCGACGGGCAATGGCAACGCCCATGCTGCCGGCGCCAATGACGGCAAGAACGGGGCGGCTTGGAGACATGATGGGGGAAGAGAGTGTAAATTGAGATGAAACGAAGAGTTTTTGCAGAACTTTCTGATTGAAAATGTCGATTGATGGTGTTAAAAACGACGAAGCTCGCGTTGTCAGTCTTCGAATCTCGTTTTCGGCTCGGTTGAGTAGTCGAAGACCAAGTTGCCAAGATATGAATCGTCGAATCAGAAGTTATCGCATTCGGTTTCGTACCTCGTTCAGGTCGGAAATCAGGATGCTACGCTGAGTTGGTCAAAAGTGGTCCCCTGCATTAACGAGGCTTAGACCAATGCAAGTCTTCTTAGTGTCAAGCTCTTGCAAGTTTCTGTTACTAAGTTCGAGCTTTGTAATGAATAGAAGTCAACATTGAATACACGAAGGGTCGAGAGTAGTTACGATGGACTTCTTGCGGGGCTTGAACAATTGACTTCCCCATTGAGACTTTGCAACTCTGCTAAATGTCACTTCAAGTTGCTTGTTATTGGATGTTTCTTGGGTCAGTTGAACTATGTCAAACTTTCCAACGGGCTCGCCTAGTAATGATTAAGTTCGTAATCCTCAAATCATCAACTCCGCCTAGGTGAATTCCCAGTGCCTCGGTGACTTACTTATTGAAAGCTATCAATAATATTCGGATAAGCATTAGTAATGCTGACTGCAACTCTGCCCTAGTTGCCCTGGAGGTTGCATGATCAATACAGGGGAGTTAATGAATTAACATAGTCTAAGAAAATCTTCAATTGCGGGCATACGATCTGAGAAGCCGCCAAACACAGCATTCTTGGGGTATCTCATGCAAGGCTATGCAGAATTTACTTGGCGGCGGAGGAGCTAAGCGCCGGCATTTTGCCTTTCCACTCGTCCGCCTTGCCTTCCGCAGCATCAACAAGCCACTTTGCCAAGGCCCCTCTCTTCATCGAAGATGTCCATCCAGACTCTCCGATCCATCCGGTGAAGAGATTCTCCTGTCTGTCTTTCTCCCAGCTCTCGGGATCCGACTCGCCGGGAATTTGAGCGATCCGAAAGACCGTCCAGTCCAGACCCTCGGCCTCAGTCTCAAACAACTTCGCAAGATTCAGCATGTTGTTGTAGATTGGGCCTGCAAAGAGCGACATGAAGACGGTTACCATCGTCTGAAACATGGTCCAATGGTCTTCGGGTCGTTTGATGGACAATGTCCCCATGGCGAAAATTCGCCTGACTCCGTGGTTTCTCATTGCAGGAAAGACAGATGAGCGGTAAATATCTGCAAAGAGCGACGGATCGATCTTCGTATTCTTGATATCGGGCCCCAAAAGCGAAATGACAATAGCGCTCTCTGACATTGCAGAAGACAAGGCATCCGACTCGCTCATCTCTCCCTTTACAACCTTTAGTCTCTTGTCAGCGCAAGTCCAAAAAATTGTGATTACAGCGGTAGAAACATTGACCATGGGCCTTAATTACCTGGATGAGTGGGTTCGAGGCCAAGTCATGAGGGATCTTCGTAGGGTTCCTCGCAAAGACCACAGTCGCATGCATTCGAAAGACGAGTTCCCGAAGCAGACAAATTCCCGCTGGCCCCGTGCCTCCGAGAACGAGAATTTTGCTGCTCGGCATTGCGACAAGAATGAAATGAGCTGGATTCAATGACAATGTGGCTCAGACTCACCAAGCGACTCTCCTGCGATATAAGACACATTTTCCTCCGCATTGATCTCTGTCACCATTCCGCAGCCCGACTTGTAAGTCATGATGGCCATTCTGCAACTGCATCAAAGTCCGCCGCCGCGCCATGGTCCAAAGTCCGGCGCCCAACTAGGTTCCCGCGCGGAAACCATTCCGGGCGGGAAAGTTTTGCGCGCGGACCCAAGTCGTGCGGACCGCGCCCCGAGCGGGTCTCTTTAAGACCTAACCGTCCGAGTCCAAGGCCAGGCGCGCGGAAATCCTCACCTCCTTTTTCAGCTATTCAGCCATATCTTGTACCACGCCGCTTCCTCTTTCGGAAAATAAAGGGAAAAACGACCGAAGGGCCTGATCAAGTCGAAAACATGCCCCGTGGCACGTCGAGCTGCTGGACGTGCCGCATACGCCACAAAAAGTGCGACGAAACGCTGCCGGTGTGCAATGTGTGTGCCGGCCTCGAGATCAGCTGCTACTCCGACCAGGAGGTTCCAGAATGGATGGATGGCGGCGCAAGGCAGCAGGCTATGGCCGAGAGGCTCAAGACGGAGGTCAGGAATGGAGCCAAACGCCGTAGGGCTAGACGCATCTTGCAGCGCATCATCGGAGACGCGGATGACATATCTAGCGACATATTTGTATTGGATCCTCCCGCGCATATCAACTCCCGTCCGGCGCCTCGTTCGGCGGACAACGACAACGAAAGACACGATGCACCCCGTACAACATCCCGCCGGACTGGCACGCCATCCAGATCATTCACCAATAGCCCTGGCTCTGATTACCCCATCGACCCTCTCCTGCAGGAAATCACGCCGCCGTCTTTGCCCAACCTTCCTACGGAACTCGAGCAAAGTTACATCATGTCTTATATCGACTACATCTTCCCTGCAGTATTCCCGTTCTACACGCCCAGCGTTCTCGAGGGTGGGCGCACGTGGTTGCTTATTCTTACCCTGGCCAACAAATCACTCTGCCACGCTGCTACTAGTCTGTCATCCTACTTCTACTCCGTGGTACCCGTCCAACAGCGGCCAGAACGACGGGAGTGCGTACCCGAGGCCGAAAACGAAGTACAGAACCAAACATGCATGGCCATGAGGAAAGCCCAGTTCGACCTCAATGAGGTCAGTAAGCACGGTGTACACGGGGATTTACTCACAAGCGCGCGGCTTTTTGATAGCATCGTACATCTGATGTGTCTCGAGGTCTCCATAGCCAGCAATGAAAACTGGCAGTTCCATTTAGACGCTGCGGTCCTTCTATTCAAGCAGATGTTGGAGTTCCCCGGAGACGTTGGGAGCCATCGGTCAAAGTGGGACGCCATGTTGGAACACATGAGACGACTAGCCCACCCCGGTATGGACAATCCTCCTCGGTGGCCAGCGTGGACAGTGGACCAGGCCGCCTTTCGCTTCTTCTCTGGTCTGTTGATTGTCCACGACATCATCTACAGCACAGGAGTCGAACAGATCCCCCGGCTCCAACCCTTTTACCCTCTCGTCCTAGCAGCCGAGGACGAGCCGAAAGAAGACCCGGATCGAAACTGTCGACTAAGGTTGGAAGATTATGTCGGCTGCCAGAACTGGGCAATGATACTCGTTGGCGAGGTGGCGGCCCTTGACGGCTGGAAGAAGACCATGCAAAAGAAAGGAGCGTTGTCATTGATGCACCTCGTCAAGAAGGGGGCGGACATCGAGCAGAGTCTGCGCGATGGCTTAAGCCGATTGGAGACAATTGACGCAACAGCCAGGGACCATCGACCGCCATGGCTGGCCGACTCGAATCAAGCCCATGACGAGGCAGAAGCCTGCCACTTGGTCACGCAGATCTGGGCGCACGCAGGGCTGGTATACCTCCACGTGGTGCTTTCCGGATGGCAGCCAGCTAACATCGATATCGCCGACTCTGTCACTCAAACCATTGAGTTATGTAGGAGACTAAGAACGCCACGCAGAATTCATACGCTTGCCTGGCCATTGGTTGTAGCTGGATGCCTGGCGCAACCTGAGCAAGAGCCTGCGTTTCGAGAGTTGTTCTCACACATGGGTCCCTTAGGGTCATTTGGCTCGACAAAGCTAACAATAGATATTGTGGAAGGTGTATGGCAAAAGAGGGAAAGTATCGCGGCCGATTCTTGGGATGTTGCGGCGTGCTTGAACAGCCTCGGTCGTCGAGTGCTGCTTGGATAAGGATGTGTTGGAAGATACACGCCAATCCTGACGACGGCAGGTTGCCGGCAAGTAATTGCTCCGTGGCGAGAGTTGCCATCAAGGCGGTTACTAGAAGTCAAATTCCCAGTCTCTTAAATGGCATGATTTGTCACTAGTCATCCACCAGAAAGGCATCGACCACAGACCGACGGACGTTCCTCAAAGCATCCCACCGGCCCGGCCCCGCGGGATCGCGGGGGTACATGCAAGCAAGAAGGATCACTGGTTTGGTCAGAGAAAAGGTATGCCTGCAATGAATAGTTACATCTTATTACATCGGTATTGCGACGTGAACAATGCTGACGAGCGAGATGCACAGGACTTATACGATAGAGGTTTCTACAACCACGAGCGATTAGGTACCTCTCTACCACGAACGATACAGCACAGAGTCCTTCTAAAAACCTTTCCCGAATCTATCGATGGCGCGTGTGATATCCTGAGTCGAACCCTCACAAAGCGCGGCCCGTATACGACTCGTACGCTTGGTTCATATCCTTGCTCCCCTTGTGGTCCAAGGGCACCATAGCGATGCTTGTAGATTCCTGCTCTTGCTTAGGATCCAACTCAGGACTGTATCGACGTCCGATAAGGGCCGTGTCGTCATCAAACTCTCCATCTCCAGCTCTCGTGTTCGCGAACTGTCCTCCGCCGCCTCCGATGTGGACATACTTGTGCTGGCCCCAAGTCTGAACCCTCTTCAGCAGGGTCAGTGGTCTTGGGACACCACCTTGGACGTTGCCGCTTTTGATATCCCGTCCACCGGTAATCATTCCGCTGGTGGGGCCCTTCGGTGCTCGGGGGTTATGTGTCTTGATGCCCATCAAGACCGATGCCAGGAGAGAGAATGCGAGGGCGATCCAGGTCGGCACAAACAGCAACCCAAGCGCAGAGGAGATGCCGATATCGTTGAAGTCTTCATTGATGGCGTCGTCGACCTTCTTGAAGATGACTGTCGCTGCGATTGATGCCGCGAGAAGACAGATTGTGGCCATCGCAGACAGGACGGCACCCGCGAAGCCAGCCCTGCCGCAACGACCACTGATGACCGAGACGATTGGAGCCAAGATGGTCAGAACGAACGCGAAGATGTACGTGACTCCAAAGAAGGAGGACGTCTTGGCATAGCTATTCAGAGCGTCGTTGAGGTCACCGGAGAAGCTCCCCGCGATCGAGGTCGCGTTAAGCTTGAGGTCGCTGCGTGGGTCAAACCAATATCCGACCAGACGCGTGGTACAGACCGTCACATCATTGATGTGCCCGCAAGATCCGAGGGGTGTTATGTAGTAGACGTCGAAGATCCGAAGGGTTGCTGGGGTTGCATCTTGTCCGACAAGGTCGGCGCCGGAGACCCTCGAGAGATCTTGGAGGTACTGCGATCCGCCAAGCTTCGCTGGAATTTTCAAGTTCGTAGCATCAACCTATTGAGTCGGTTAGAGCCATAGAGATCCCGAGAAACAAGCATAGGGTATCACGAACCCGAAGAAATGAGAGTTTATCGCCAACTCTAGGCCGCGAACCTGATGCAATGATAACCACGATCAACATACCCACAATCATCGATGCCAAGATCGGCAGAAAGGTGAAGGCAGGCACCCTGCGAGTTGGTGCATTGTGTGCCATACCTGCGATACAGAGGCCAACAACACGGAATGAGTTGAATAATCGAGTTGATTTCACGACGTATGGAATGTAGCGGGTTCAGTAAGCAGAGAACGCGGACGGTCCAGCTACAAGTACGTGAAGGTCTCCAGCCCTGCCGAGGATGAAGCAGGCAACCCGCAGGCAGGCACCAGTCCCTGGAATAACTTTTGATGGCCTCGGATCCAAGGAACCGTGAAGCGCGATGCCAAGGTGGAATCTTTGAAGTGGCGCATTCGCGGGAGATGAGCGGCGGCTGATCGCGTCCGAACCAGCTCGCTGGGCGCCCGTTGGAACAGTGGCATTGGCTTAGGTCTTACGTGAGCTCTCGTCTGGTGTCCTGTCTCAGTCTGTGCGGCCATGTTCTTGTCGTTTTTTCACACTTCTTCAGGCTTAATTCACTTAATTGGTATTCGTCAATCGTCTGAATCTGTTGGATCAATAACCTAAAATGGAATTCAGCCCAGCCCATCTTCGGATGATGATCAGGCCGGATGAAGGATCGCAACATCACCGCTTGGCAGGCAGACTGCTCTCGAAGTCATCTATGAGCGTGGTCGAAGGATGCACGTCAATTCCAGGAAGCTCATCATTCCGCAGCAAGGGTTCGCTCTGTCACATTTCGGACGGCGGAATAGACGTTATCCGCGTGGCACAGCATCCGACGAACGTTGGTACAAGAGGCTAGGTGACGACCGGGCACTGGGCTTAGGGCTCATGGTCCAATTGAATTCGCCCTCCAAACAGATCTCAGATGTACGAAGGACCAAGAGACTAATCTGTAGCCGCTGCATCGTCAGAATGCTATTCTAAAATTCCATCCTCTCCCGAGACGCTTAGACGCTTGGTCAGCTCAGCCCTAGCGCGACCCCTTTTTGTCTTTGACTGGTGCGGGGAGCGTGGCGTAGACTTGGCGTTGACTTTAGTCCCTGAAAGCTGTTGGTACTGTCTCCTTGGTGTCTCGATCAGTTCTGATCCGGCCCAAAATGGCTTGGGAATTTCCAAGCCGGCTCAAGGAGAGAGCTTGGCTTCAAAAGAGTGTGAAATATCACAGCTATCCCTGCGTGGCATGACGGACAACTCTTCCTGAGTCGACACCCATCACGAACACTCGAGACTCTTATGTTTGTCTGCAAACATGAAGTCCATTTTCTCGTCACTGACCGTGGCCGCTGCACTTCTCGGCGTGCAGGCCGCGCACTTCGATGTCAATGTCGGAAAGAACAACCAGCTCAAGTTCGAGCCAGAGACGATCATCGCGAACCGTGGCGATACAATCACGTACCACTTCTTCTCCAAGGCAAGACTGCTTCATTGAACCCGAAAATGAGTGCGATTCTCGCTAATATTTCCTCAGAATCATTCAGTCACTCAGTCTTCATTCGATAGCCCCTGCAGTCCGCTGGCCAACGGTGGCTTCTTCTCAGCCTTTGTACCTTCAACTTCCGATTCCGAGTGTGCGAAAACAATTTTCACAATAACAGTGAACGACACGAAGCCTATCTGGATATTCTGTGGCCAGGGAAACCACTGCCAGCAGGGGATGCTGCATAGCATCAACCCACCATCGTCAGGAAACACCTTCGATGCGTTCCGTGACAAGGCGAAGGGTGCCGGTCCGAGCAGCTCTCCTTCCGATGGTCTTCCTGTCGGCGGTAAACGTATCTCGCGGGTGGACGTGGGTCTCAACGGAGCTCTAACTTTCAGTCCTAACGACGTCAAAGAGCCGCCGAGGACGTACGTCGAGTTCAGCTTCAACCCACGAAATCACTCAGTCACACAATCATCTTTCGATAAGCCATGCGAGCCATCTGCCAACGGCTTCAGCAGTGGTCTCATTCCCACAGCTCTTAGTCCGTCCGGGGTGACCTTCAGTATCTTAGTCAACGATACCAAGCCGTAAGTCCCAAGCCTTTGATGGAAGATACTTGTCGCTGATGAGAACACAGCATTTGGTTCTACTGTGCGCAAACAACTGGAACTCACTGCCAAAATGGTATGGTCGGAGCCATCAACGCTCCAGATCAGGGCAACACCCTCCAAGCCTTCACAGACCTCGCCTCCAAAGCACCCCCAAGCACTCTGCCTCCCGTGGCCCCTCTCGGCGGCGTCCTCCGCGCGAACAGAACGATCCTGCCGATGGTAAATTCCGCCGTCGTCAACGTCTCCGCCCTTACAGCGGATATGATCGCCTACATCCCCAAGCCGGGTGATAACGACCAGTACATGATGGGCAAAGCCGGCGGCGGCGCAATCACGAACTGGAATTTCGGCACTAACATCAGCGACGCGGCCGCCGAGCATCTGCAGCTGATCCAGTTTCTCGACAATATCCTTCTTAAGGTTCTATTCGAAGGTTACGAGAGTCTGCAGTCCGGTGGCAAGTGGGCCAATGTCTACCCTGAGACCATTGTCGAGACGATCGGGACAATGGCGGCGCAGGCGTGGGTGCATCGCGGCACGGCGACGGATTCGCTGCAGCACTTTTCCAAGACGGTGTTGAAGGAGTGCGCGTACGCCATTCCCGACCTTGACATCGATGCGTTCCTAAGCACGACGCTTACGATTTTGTTATTGGAGATTGGGCTGATTATTGACGCGACGGCGCTGCTAGCGCCGTCGGACCCGTGGCTCATCCCGGCCCTCGCGACGTCTTTGGGTGCCAAGTCGCGCATGACGGCCGTTATCAACCTGATGCAGAACCATATTGCCGCGGCTGCGCCTCGCGAGGTGTCTATCCCAGCCGAGTTGGTGTACTCGTATGCCATGCACCACTACGTGTCCTCGTGCCCGGACAAGTTGGCCTGGGACAAGCCATTTGCGAAGTTGGATATCAAGGGTCAGGGATTAGACCAGGCCCAGAGATTGGTGGGCGTTGATGTGCAGTGGGAGGGCAAGCATGATGGAGACTTGTTCCTCGCCTGGCTTGGTGCGTGGGGAGAGGTCAAGTTTTCGTCCATTGCTGATGGCAAGTCGTCCGTGCCTGAAGGTTTGTATGGTCATGTTTGGGCTGTTGTCACGTCGAAGAAAGATATCAAAGCCTCGGAAATTGCGGGTGCAGCGATAGCTGGGCCTGAGATGATCTGGGTTACACAGCCTTAAGCAAGGTTGTCCTGGCGTGGTTTGACATGGCATCGGGGTATATACAGAAAGAAAAGAAGCCATCGAGCAAAGTGACGCAACTGGGGGCAGATGACCATTGGTGGAAGAGATCAGATGCCATACATATACACTATCATTACGTATTTCACATTACTGCTCCCCGAAGGCGTTGTATGCGTGCCTAACTAAGCGATATTTCACGCAGCAGCTGTTGCGTTTCCGGCCGCCTGGTACTTGACGATGAAAGGCACCGTCGTGAAGACATCCCAGTCTTCCTTCTTCTCCCGATCTCCGTAGATTCTAAGCGCGCTAACCTGCATCTTATAAACACCAGGTTCGAGAACAGTGCCGTCGGCAAGCAGGCCGTTGAAGTACGCCCGTTGGTCAACGCGGGTAACATACGGAAGAGGCCAGCCAGCCAAGCTTCCGAGGTTCTCCTCCTTGCCGTTGACAACTGACAGAACGTCCACGGCGAGTGAGGCGGTGCCCACGGTAGGTTGGATGTAAAGGTTGGGAGTGGCAGACTGGTCACCGCGGTCGGTACGGGGAGGGTTGGCGGGGTCTGGGCGGGCTATGGTGTAGGTGCGGTTCGCGGGGACGACGCCGTTGTACTCGGCGAGGTACGCTTGCGAGGCGGTCAGGACTGGGGTGCTGTACATGCTGCCGACAACGCCGAGATACGGCACGTTCAGGGAGGGGGCGTCGGTGGTGCTCGTGAGAATAATGTATCCGCTGTATACGGGAAGGAGGGTTGCGTTGAGGTTGGAAGGTGGCGTGCAGGTGACAGTCAAGTCAACCGAGCCACCAGCGGGAACAGTGAGCTTTCTGTGAAGAGCGTTAGTCAAAGGGACACAGAGATCGTGAGGTTGGCGACGTGACTTACTCAGAGCTGAACTGGAGGTCCGCCCACTCTTCGACGATGGGGTTGGGGAAGGCGGCCGCCCGCAGGCGGTCAAGGCTGGAAATGAAGGTGTACATGGTCACAGCCTTGCGGTGGCTGACGTCGAAGACAAGGTCTGCGGACCCAGTGTTCTTGATGCTGACAGTGGCATTGCCGACGAAGTTGTCTGTGTCGTTAAACGAGATGGAATTGACGCTGAGCTCGGCGGCGGAGCGGGCAGCATCAAATGCCTGGACAATACCGGCGCCCTGCTGCGGGACAGGGGCGACGATATCAGAGTGCGCTGCCGTACCGTCATACCAGTCGAGTTGCTTCGCGGTAGATGAGAGAAACGAGGCGAGGCGCTTGGGATCTTTGGTACCGTGAGCCTCGGCGAGCAGGGCATAGATGGCAGCAGTCATTGGACAAGACATGCTCGTTCCCGTCATTACACGGTAAGAGCCCAAAGCGACAGGGTAAGTAGACAGGATGTTGGCGCCAGGGGCAGCGAACTGAGGGCTCCCGTCCAGTTCCCAGGTGGGTCCCCAGCTGGAGAAGGTGCCCATGTAGCTGCCGCTGCTGTTGTTTTCGAGGTTCTCGAGGCGAGTCTTGGTGTTGTTGGCATTCGGGATGGAGACAGTGACAGCTCGGCCTTGGTCGAGGAGGGACAGCCACTGCGTAGACTGATAAGGCGGGACAGACGCGACGCCTAGAATGCCGTCGGAGTAGACGTACTGCTCATCGCGCATGGTTCTGGCACATATGTTAGTTGATCCATCATGACCATCACAGATGCTGACACTCACGTGTTGTCGTTGGTGTAGTAGAGGATGTAATGTCCGCCCTTCGCTGCAACATTGTTGCCTTGGTCGTTAGGGTAGCAGCCGGTCGCTCGGGAATCGGGGAACTGCAACAGGGCAATCTTGCTGCTCAAATCTGGCGTGTCTTCCGGCAAAGCACTGCAGGCGTCGCCAGTCCAAAGCTGAAGGGACAGATCACCAGTCAACTCGGGAACACCAGGCAGGTAGCCGAACTCGGTCTTGCTGCTTCCAGTAGAGTTCGAGTCAACACTGAAAGTGCCGGCGTTGAGAAGAGTGGGAAACAATGCGTTCGTAACGGCACCGATGCCGGCAACACCCCGACCTGTTGCCGGGGTAGAGGCGTAGAACATACCGGTGCCACCGTCGTTGCCTTCGGAGATGACAACTGGAACGCCGGCATCAACGATACGAGAAGCAACAAGGCCCCAAGCATCCTCAGCCCAACCAGAAGGACTATCAAAGTCGTCAACATAACTTCGCTGAGGAGAAGTTAGCGGGTATGACTTACTCTCCATCAGAGCAGGAAATAATATCAGCTCCCTCCTCGAAAGCCCGACTAAACGCAGAAATCAAGATCTCGTTGGTTCCCGTCGCAGCGCATCCCCATGCACGATAAGCAGCCAGCTTCGCTCCGGGAGCGGCACCAGTGAAGCCGTACCCATTGCCTTCGAGCTGAGCGGCAATGATTCCAGCAACGTGGGTTCCGTGGCCTACGCAGTCGTCCATGGGGTCAGCATCGGGCTGCGCAGGTCGAACGCCAGGAAGAAAATCGTCGCCGGTAAAGTCCCATCCGGCTTCGACGAGGCAGCCAGGGCCGAAACAGCCTCCGAGGGCGGGGTGCGTCCAGTCGACACCGCTATCGATGATTCCCACACGAATGCCCTTACCAGTGATGCCCTGTTCGCGCAACTTGTCGACCTGGGTCATGATGTGAGGGGAGAAGGTGTCCTTGGTCGAGTTGCCGGGAGCGCCGCCCTGACGCTTGACGCGGGCGTTCGCAGTTGCGGAGCCTTGGTTAGGGGCACCGTTATCCTCGGGCAGGTCGAGCTTGATGGTCTTCACGGGCCAAACGTTCTTGATGCGAGAAGAACCCGCCATCTGGCGACGGAAGAGCGCGCTATCATGGTGCGCGGCGTTTGACTCCTTGACTTGGAAAGAAACGCCCTTGAAGAAGCGGTAGCTCATCTCCATACGCGTGTCGGCATCGATGCCATCGGCCTTTAGCGATTCAAGGAAGCTTGAAGGGGTGTCGTTGTCGTCGGCGAACTCGACAATGTACGCGCCCTGAAGCAGCTCGATGCGGCTCTTCGTCGTCTGGGTGTCGTCGGATTCCCCTCTCGGAAGATTAGCCAGCGCCGGGGCATCCGCGTAAATGCGCGGGTGGAGCGGCTTGGGCGTCGCGGCGTTGGCGGCCAGGATGGCCGAGATGATCGCGTGCGAGACCCTCATCTTGACTTGATCACTCGCTCACAGGATGTAGGCTAGCGGGTGAGGAAACGGAGAAGAATCGATCGGGCGCCATCGCGGGTGCAGCCGTTGATATACACGGGTGGCCCGCACCTCGTCATGGGGGTTGTTTATCGGTTGATGGAGCAGATGACACGAGTTGGAGATGAAGAACGGCAAATACGAGCTTCGTTCGTGATCTAGCGCGCAGATCCCCGGCTTTGCAAGGGGCGGCCCCACTGTTGAAGGTGTGCCCCTCGCGTGAGCCGAGATCCCCGACCTTGGACTCTGGAGAATGATTCCACGGAGACATGGTTTATTGTAGAAGGGACCCAAAGAAAGACTAAGCGTGTATCCATCCAAGTCATGGCTCGACGAATAATTCTATTGTTGAAGGTCTTCAGAGCCTACTGCCTTCGATCTTTCGCTCGCAAACAATGACTCTGTTCAATATTCTTCGGTGGGTCCTCTCAGCAAGTTGACAATGCGCAACTCTCTTGGCGCTACTCCGTATTCCGAAGGTATCCATTTAAATACAGTAAGGTAGTATTCGCCAAAGTTACCGAGCCGTCACCTTACTTGCTTGGGCAGGAGCTGCATCTCCCCACGAGGCAGCTGCCATGAAGTGTCCGTAGGATCACACAAGATCACGTAGGAGCAAACCACGGCCGGGTTGCCTCTTCGTTCTCAAGTCTCCGTGCTGCCCTTCGAATGAACATGTTTCCCGGCAAAACTAGCGAGATGATGTTCTTTGGGATGAATTCCAGTGCAAACCATTCAGACTCTTGGCTCAAGGCATCGGGAACCCCCAGATGTCTTCGGATGTCCCGTGTTGAGAACAGAGTGACGCTATCCGACTCCCAGGACGGGAGTGAAACGTTGGTGTCCGTAAATTTCAGATCCCAGTGTAGTTTCTGAAGGCGTCCGGGTCGGATCTCGGCGGCCTGAACCCCTAGGTAGCCTTTTTGAATCATGAACTGAGCCCGCTTGGAAGCGTCTCCTGGAGCAGCAATCAGCGATTACTGATCCAGCTGCCGGGGAGGTGGTGCTTGAGAGCATCTTGCAGTCACTTACTTTCATTATCAAAGACAGAAATAAACGGCGTCGATTCCAACGATCGATCGTTCCAGTTCAAGTGCTGCAGGAACTTGCTTGGGTGGAGGAAAAATTCAGGGCGCGTTAGATAGCCCCGTCTCGTCTCAAAGCCGTTCTCTGGATCATATCGCGTAAAAGAATATTCCCATTGTACTCTGTAGAAGATGCGATCTGTGGTCATCGTGCTTGAGAGGTTGATGCTTAGGTTACGTAGATACCTATGGAGCGCATCATAGGTAATCGCAGATTAGTAAATGTCGGATTAGGGCACGGGATGAACCTTAAATAGCGGGTCTTTAATAACGTATGGTTCAGGCTGGTCTGAATATAAAGATTACCTGATTATCGTGTGCTAGAGCGACTATTTTTTCTATGGGCTATTATGTAATTCGCTTTAGCATCATCACCACGGTCGTGCTCCTTCGTTATCGTCGGTATTGTCATCATTTTTACTACTTATTCCCTCTTTTACAGCGCAGTCCACTTGAGATTCAGCTGGGCGGGCATAAGAAGGTACGACGGTCGATAAATGAAAAGCCATCTTCAGCGGACTGAAGACGTAATGCTAACGTCAAATATAGACCAACTTCCACATGGTTATTGAATTGTCTATATGTTCCTTCCAGTATACACACGTCATGCATGTATTGGTCAATCACAGGTTATCTGTTGGGGTGAACGCTTCTTCTGTCCGTTTCTGCGTCTACTTCCTTTTGGGCGATGCCACTGTGAACTTCAAGACTACTCGGCATAACATGATGAAGCTTGATAAAACTACTGAAAACCATTCAAACTCTAGATTTCATCTTGACTTGACTTCACTATTTGACAAGTACCAAGTACATTCCACTTGCATCCCGCATGAAAGCTATCTCAACCCCTCCAGTCTCTCGCATCATTCAACAGGGCTCCGACCTCATGAGTCCGGTCATTCGCACGCTCAATCACATCGTACTCATGCATGGCTTTCCTCCAGTCTTGAATCTCGTCCACGAGACGGTTAGGATTCTCTCTTGCTGTTATGGCGATGTCGTCGAAGAATTCTACCAACCTCTTCCGTCTCTGCCGCTGTGCTTGCGCCGCTAGTTCACGCTCTGCGTGCTGGCTCTCAAGCTCAGACCTGAGCCTCAGAATCAAGTTATCGGCTCGTTGCAACCCCGCATTCTGATGCGCGAGACAGGTCCGAAAGGCCTCCCCTGCAGACATTTTCTGGCCCTCAAAGTCAGCATCCGCAAAGCACTTATCCATCTGCCGAGTCTGGAGCACTTCGCTTGAAGTTTCAAACCGTGAAGAGTTGTAACTCGATGAGATGTACGAGCGTTCTGGAGACTCGCCCGAAGAGTTTGACGTCACATTCGACGGCAGCCCGGGGGTTGGCGGGCAAAGTGGCGAGCGCATGTCTCGAACTACCTCCTGCATTAAGGAAGATGGACGGTGTACCTTTTTCGGCCCAGCGCGTGTCTGAATCTTCTGGGATCTGTCTGTGATATCTGCACTCCAGGTATTGACATCACGGCGCAAACGCTCTTTGGCCCTCGCAGAAATAGGCTCTCTGGGAATCGGGCTGGGGTCATATACGGTTGGAGTTTTGTTTGTGTCCGCCTCAGGGAATGCCCTCTTGGCCTTTTCGGTGGCGTTGAGCCGGGGCTCAACACTTTCATTTGTACTCATTGTCGGTTTGATTGCGAAGATTGATCACTAGCGTAAGAAGTTATGACGATGGTTCCTCGACAGCTGCGGTGCGACGTTCACACTTATGTATCAAATCTAGAAAAGCAGCGCAGGGAAGTGTTGGGAACAAATACATTGTGAGATCATACACACAAAAAAGCAATCACAGCGTCTTCAACGGAATGGTCCATCCTCAAAACTGCTCCTTTCATTGTTCTAGCTCGAATTGCGCGACCATGGCCAGGTTTACTCCTTACCTTGCAGTCTGAAAGGACTCGGTCAAAGGTACAGGGGAATTGGCCCCGGCTTCAAGCCTGTTCCTCAGCAATCAGCATGTCTTCTGCAATACCTTGGATTGATATGATAAAGAGCCTGTGTCAAATTTCTCTGGTTACTCTCGTTCTCGTCACTAATAGTGACATGCGCTACTTTCTTTCGAGATACATAAGCTGAATAAGATCAAGACCATTAAATAACAGCCTTACAGGTCTCCAACGAGGTCGCCGCTCAGAGACCCCGTCATCTTGTCTCATTTTGCACATGCCTTTTACTTCCACGCAATAGTTGCTCCCGTGTTGTGCGACTCTCTCGCCAGCTCAATAATCCTGATTGCGTCTCGTGACTGAGTGGCCTTCACCTCGAGCTCAGCTTTACCATTGATCGCGTCGGCCAGATTCTCATAGATACCCAGCCAGCGCCCAGTGATGCTGGGATATCTGCCAGTATACTTCTTCGTCGCTTCATCGTACTTCTGAACCGTTCCATCAAACTCTTTGTATGTCGTAAGAATACCACGCAGCTCAGCTGGCTCCTCGCCGAAACCGGGCTCGAGTGGCTTGCGGCCCTCGGCAATTTGCTCTTCTTGAGGGCAGGTACTTCTTTGTTGGAACTATGACGTGTCAGCGGACGATGTTTTGTACGAATGGCGGGCAACCAACCTTGAGCCACGATCCCTTTGTTCCCCTCACGAGATGTTTGAGTTGCTGGGCCATGGGCGTGGTTACGGAGGTCTTGACGGTCACCAGAAGGTCCTTCTGCGCTCCGTCGTACTGCAAGACGATCGTGAACGAGTCTTCCACCTCGCTTTCGATGCCGCGCTGGGCCCGGAAGAAGCCAGTCACGGACTTCGGGCGTCCGAAGAGAGTCACTGCTTGGTCGATGCTGTGTGTTCCTGCATTTCGACACGATTAGAACAGTGTTCTTGAAACCTATGCTCGTTCTGTAACTTACCCAAACCGAACGCCATACCATCACCCGGAGTGTACTCTTTCTTGGTCATTGAGCTGAGCCAAGGAGGCGACTCGAAGTCGTAGTGGATCTCAGCTTCCTTGATCTCTCCAAGTGCATCCTCTTTGATGAGCTTGCGCAAGGTTTGGAAGTCGCCATCCTGCAGTTTCGATGAGCCAACACCATATCATGGGATAACTCAATAATACTTACCCATCTACGGTTCTGGAAGCAAGTCAAAATGAGGCCCTTCTCCTTAGCGATTTGAATAACACGGTCTGCTTCTTCAGATGACCTTGCGAAAGGCTTGTCGGCGATGGCTTCAAAAACGTCAATCTCCGACCACATAATCAGCTGCATCGGATAGTGACTTACCATGTTTTCCCGCCAACAGCGCCTTCTCTGCGAACGACGCATGTGTATCAGTGTGGGTGGCGACCACGACGAGTTGAATGTCCGAGTCGGCGAATAACTCCTCCGCAGTCCGGTAGTGTCTAATGTTGGGAAAGTCGACCTTGCAGTGGGAGCCCGCAGGCGCGGATGACAAATCGCTCGGAGCTTCCGCTCTCTGCAAGATTGCAATCACCTCGTAATCCTTGTTGGCAGTGATGAATGGCAGGTGGAAGCTCTTGGCGGCGAAGCCGTAGCCGACGACACCGACTTTGATAGTGGACATAATGTTTTCCGTGTCGATTTCCCGTGTATGCTTTCGAGTGACTGAATGAATGTTTTGAAATTTCGAAAGTCTTTCCTGTCAATGAGAAGCCGGCCACCTTCATTTATATCACATCTTCTAAGATGCGGGGTGTTGGTGCGGCGGCGGCTCGACGGTGCGGGATGACGGGGTGGAGGGGCGGAGAGGACCCACTCCAATGCCGATACTCCGCGGAGGACTTGCACTTCGTTTTCGTAAAGGTTGTGATAGTACCGACTTCAACGATTATACTTTGGTTCAACATCTAAGTCTGCTCATTAGAACATAACTGATAAAGAACATTTCTCAAACAGCCGAAACGCTCCTGTTGATTTTACACGAATCATACATTGGTTTTCTGTTCTTCTCGTTTGAGATACATCGTCAAATCTCCTTCGCACGCATGGTACCAAAATCTAGGCAAAAAAACCTCCACCCACACACGACCAATCATTCATGACATGGTTTTAGCCGCATCGCCTCAAGCCCCGCTGATTCCCCAACTGCTAGACTTTCCCGATCGAGACATGACTAACGACGAATGACGTTATTGAAGCTATCCCTCACATTTACTCCAGATATTTACCGAAGACCAATGCAAGTTGGATGGGTTCCACCATGGATCCAGGGTGGCATTGCCCTGCCAGTCTAAATCGTGGGATCTCTCTAGTGAACATACCCAGGTTTTTGTCCGTATACGACAAAGCTGAACACAAACAATCAGCAGAAAGCCCAATTTTCACGGAGCGGTACAAGAGGGGTAGCACTTACATGTCGAACAACAAATGCATATCCCCCTGTTTCAGCTCCTTCCTAACAGCCGCTAATTCAACCTCAACCTCAACCCGCGACCTTCCTAAGATATCGCAAAACAGCTTGAGAGTGAACGCTTCCAGCCCTTCCAACGTGATCGCCAAATTCATGATTCCAAGATCTTTGTAGTATGGGTCCCTTGGCCACGGACCTATAGGACACTTGAACCCGCGGGCGTAGACGCCATTGAAACCTACCTCCTTCACCATCCCTTCAATTTTAGCCGCTGGGGAAGGGTCCCGACCCATGCTTCTGCAGGCGTTGGCGAATGCCTGGTTCCACTTCCAAGTAGCATGTTCGGTAGTGTATGTGCTGTCATCTGAGTAGAATTCGGTGTCCATCTCTTGGAACTCAGCGAAGCCCCCTGGATTTAAGTGGCTCATTTTTCCCGGTCAGTATTCCAAGCTCCTTGGGCGTGGCCAGTGATACCTGACATACTCGTAGATGTTCTTGACTAGCCTGGGCCAGTCGGCGATGGACGCAGCCATGTACCGACACATGATGAAATCGTATTTTCTGTTCGTGACCCAATCGCTCTCCACGTCATCCACCTCAAACTTCACGTTGGGGGGAACCCTGTATCCTTGCACATCAGTCTTCGGACAGCGTTTATAACGTGTGGACTTACCATTCTGGTTGAATCGGACTCAAGTCGTTCCCAGTAACCTGCAGTTCTTTTTAAAACTCTAGATCTACAGCGCAAGACCTGGTGTCCATCTAACCTCTGCGTTCTGGAAAATATCACCCATCTCCACTGCCCCTGGGGTTGATCAGCCTTCGCCCGAGTGTCGCAGTAAGGGTGCTCAACTGCATACAGATTCCCGTCCCTGTTCCAATGTCGAGCATCTTGTGGATTCTCTCCTTTTGCAGCGGTGCAAGATAAAGTCTGTTGCCAATGGTTTTGACAATCATGGCATGAGCTAGATCTAGTCGATCCATTTCATACTGGGTTGAATGTCGTCAGTGCATCCAAATTTCGCTTTGAAAATTGAACAAATCGTACATCATCATTTGGAAACGCGTATGCTGCGAATTGTCAGCGCTTAGACCTGCGTTGCGTCTTCCAACGGCGAGAACCACAAAAGCCGACTTACTCCCGGGGCGGAACGCATGATACCGACGGCCATATTCGACAGGATAGTCGACGACACTTGAAGTCAGCGACGCGCTGTAATTTGACCTGCTCTCGAGTAAGCATTCCTGATCCATGGGTCGTTGGAGGCTGATGGACTTGCAGTCTCTCATCAATTGATGCGGTATCATCCTCTCCCTGAGGCAACATTAGTACTGGACCAGAGTCAAAATTGAAGCGCAAGAGAAACGTACATAAGGCCGAGCCTCAGCCTCAAGTTGATCCATCTCGCCAGTCGACGCAGTCTCGGGCTGCAACCTGCCAAGTAGGACGGTAGAAAGAAGGACTCGCGCATCAGCGATAAGACGTCGGGGAAGTGGTGTTTCGCTCTCTGCGGGGTCGCAGAAGGTACGCGGCCGCCGTGCAGAGTTCACGAGTTGAGTTCGTCTGGTGTTTCCAACCGCCCGTTTCCTTCAGAAAGATAATCCCCGTGTTGTTCAGCCAAAGAAATGACAAATTCTAAAGCGGCATCTCACACTGCTAGCAGTAGTACACTGACTCGGATCTCATGCGTTTGTGGAGTGGGAACAATGAACGGTCGCAACGCCGGCACATGGACCGGTTCTTTCTTTATCTGGGTTTCCTGTCGGTAAGGATCGAAAACACTCCTATTTTCTTCTCGACCTGAACGACAGTTTGTGATGGAACAAAGAACATCGAATATTCTTCGTGAAATTGCAAGGATTATGTGTGTGTTTCGAGGGAACAATTGGTTCTACCTTCCTGTTCATTTGCACCGCGAAGAACCAAATCAATCGATGCAGAGCAAAGCCTTTAAACAATTAACTAAAGTACTGGGGCCGAGCCGTATTAATAGCCGCTCTTTTCTGCGAGTAGAACCTCCTGACTATCAACATAAAAAACTTCCAACGGCTCCTCCGAGACATCTTTCCAAACCGCCCAAGAACCTATTGCAACTCAAACGGACCATCCCAAAAGCAGCCATAATGGCCTCCCACAAGCCAACTTACGCCCAGGCCCTCGCCCACGCAAAGGTCCTCCACGACGACTTCCGAACCGAACTCGCCGCCTTCCGCCAGAATCTCAGCTCGCACTGGGACAGCTGTAAGGACACCCTCGAAACCTTTGAAGAAGGCGCGCTAACACGCGAGAACCTCGCTACACACGTCCACGCCATCGACGCGCTGCACATCCGCCTCTTCAACCGATATCTAGCACTGCGCGAGGGCCTGCATGATCTCATTGGCCCCCTTTACGTGGGTGCGGTGCATCCAAAGAAGGGCGAGAAGGACATGTTGTCGGGGACGTATTGGGCCTTTGAGCGAGTGCCACCCTTTGATGCGAAAGACGGGGATGACGTGATTGGGGGTCGGGAAGCAGACCGTGTAGAGGTGCAGAAAGGGCGGTACACAGATGAGCCCGGGACAGGCCAGGGCAACGGTGAACAACCTTGGGTCTTTGAAGAGCATGACCCCGGAGCTTCAGGCAAGGCTGGCCCTGAGGAATGGTGGGAGGATTCGGAGAAGAAAGAGGCGGATCTTATCGATCTGAGCTAGAATAATCATGTCTTTGGGTGGCTTTTGCGCAGTTAGCTAGCCATACGCTTTTAACCCCCAACCTCAACCTTGAACAGACCACCCGCTAACCCTCAATTAAATTCCCCTTCAGCTCCCTATACTTGTTCTCCGGATCCGCCATCTCCTCCTCCACCGTCTGCAATTTCTTAATCACATTCGCGGGGCTGCCCACCGCCACACTGTACGCAGGCAAGCTCTTCGTGACCACGGCGCCGCTGCCCACCGTCGTGCCGCGCCCGATCGTCACGCCCGGCATGATGGTCACGCCCCCGGCGATCCAGCAGTCGTCCTCGATGGTGACGGGCAGGCCGTACTCGACGAACTTGATGCGCGAGAGCACCGAGGTGTCGTGGCCGGCGGTGTAGATGCTCACGTTGGGGCCGAACTGGACGCGGTCGCCGATTGTGACGAGGGAGACGTCTAGGATGGTCATGCTGTGGATGTGTCAGATTTCTCACTGCATCAGTGGAAGATGGTAACGTACTTGAAATTAGCAAAGCAGTTCTTGCCAAAAATCACGTTACATCCGTAGTCCACAATAAAGGGTGCCTCGACAAATGTGCCCGCGCCGAGCTTGCCAACCATCTTGGCCAACGTCTCTGTCTTGAGCCGGGCTACCTCTTCGGCAGTGTGCTTGCGGTGGTCGATCTCGTTGAAGTCACGCGCGAGGCAGCGGCCTTGGTGGCGACCGTCGACTAGGATTGGGTCGACGGGGTTGTACCTTTTCTTTTCAGTCAGCAATGGAGGAGTAGGTGTCTGGGAATCCAGCAAGAGCGCTCACATCATCCCAGAAACCATCTTCTCGTACTCCTCGCACCAGGGCGTGTTCTGGAGGGTGCGGGCTACCGCGATGATTTCGGGGTCTTTTTGGGACTTGGCCATTTTTGGTTCGCTGTGTCGTTGGGTTGGTGTCTTGAATTCGCCGGTGGGAAGGTGATTGAGACGGTGCAAAGAAGTGACGACGGTGAGATGAAGCTGTAGAAGAGAAACAAATGAGACTGCTGTTATGGGCGATTATAAGAAAGACAACGATGAAGTATATCGTGTCCTGAAGTCAAAGAGTCGTTGGTGTTGTGTGTAAGTGGCGGCCGATGCGGAGACTCCGCCGGCTGGCTACACCACACATATGCGTGGAAGGCAGGAACACCCTGGTGTGGGGTCCTGGCATTTCTCCCGATAATTATCACGGCGAATCCTGAGTGGTCGGTATGGGTAAATATCGGGCTACACAGCGTGGGTTGCGGAGCACAATGTCCACGCGGTGGAGGCTGAGACCGTGGTCCCGGGACGGCGAAGCGGCCCGAGAAACACTAGATCCAGTCTTCCAGGCCCCGTATCTTCCGGAATACATATCCCGCCTGGGTCTCCATGCCGGTTACCGGGTCACGGGTGAAACCACGCCTGTGCATAGCCCTACTAATATTGGAAAAGTTTGTCATGTCTAGTGACCAATGAGGCCGTAACTCGTATGCTCATATCCATCTAGGAGAAGTATGTATAGATTCATTGTACCCAGCGCCTCGCAAAGCCCCCAAATGCCCATTAGTGTCTAGCAAATCCGCCTGACGCGTCTCATCCGCTAGCAGCAGTTTTCCTGCGACTCGCCAGCCGCTGTCTGGAAGCTTGCAGCCTCTCCTCATCCATGGCTGACCGCCACGTGCAGTCGTCCGCAAACTCGCACATGCGGCACTTGTACGCCTCCTCGATCTGCACGCCCCGCGGCTCTCGGTCTGCGCGCCACCACTCCAGCGTACTGCCCAGGTAGAGGTTCAGCGCGCGGTCGTCCATCGGGAACACCTGGCTGTCGATGAGGGAGCCATCGCCGCGGTATCTGTACTCTACGGCGAGAAGTCTACCAACGGAGTCTGCACCGTGGGCAAAAGTCTCCTTCAACTCGGACCTGAGAAGAGGGAGGAGTTCGCGGAGCGTTCTGTACTTAATAAAATCTGGCGTCTGACTTGTGGCTCCGTCCGCGTCCGTACCGCCATTTGCCGCACCAGATGATGGCGGAACGTAGTCACCATCCGGGGATGAGTTGACGTCGAAGAACAGCTCGTCGTGCAGGCTGCCAATCTGCGCAATAAACGAGTCCGAGAACGGCACATCCGGATCTAGGTTATACCGCCTGAAGATTCTCAGGTAATCCAACTTGTCCGCCGCCATCTCTGACAGGAACCGTTGGTAGAGAAAGAGCTGCACCTTTGCGGGGCGCAGCAGCGCGGGGCTGTTAGGCGCCTTCATGGACCCCCGCGTCTTGACGTCCGTCAAGTAAATCTGCGGGATCTTCTCCTTGCCTGCACTCTTCGAAGGGAAGTAGTCCGTGATGCTCGCCTGGCTCTGGCCTTCCGACTCCTGGCTCAGCTGCTCCTCAAACTCCGGGTCCGGGTTCTCGAAGCTCAGGCCGTCGATGACGCCGTTGACGAGATTGCCGTCCGCGAAGCCCCATACCTCGAGCTCGCGGGTCATGCCCGTTTCACGGAGCGTTCGCAGGCCCTGGATGAGGTTCCACATGCGCAGCCCGAAGCCGTCCTCCTTGCTCGCGATCTCGACGCGCACGGTGGTGTGCACCTCGTCCTCGAGGTCCTGGTGCACCTTGGTCCCCTGCTTCATCGCCGCCGTGCGCGTCTTGCGGCCGAAGGGCAGGCGGGTGAGGGTGTAGAAGTATTGCAGCTCGCACCACGCCCCGGCTGTCAGGTCGGTGACGGTGAATGGCTTTCGCGGGTAGGATCGAAATCGTACTAGGGGCGATCGGGTATCATCGTCGGGCTCTGGACGGGGTGCAGTCTTCGGTTTTGAGGGCGAGCGCGAGGATTCGGTTTTGGATAGAGCTTTGCTCACTAGACGCTTTACAGTCAGTCAGTTTCTAAACAATGGTCCTTTCCATGTGGCGAACTCACGATCCGGGTAGTTGACGACGCCGTTGCCATTCGACGGCGGGGTACCAGCCCGGTGCTTCCTGCCGTCGGTGCCAAACGCAGCTCTACGGCGACTGCGAGGAGACCGTAGTGGCGCCTTGGCCGTAGCAGACTGCTCGTAAGAGAGGGCATTTGAAGGAGCATCGTTCAGACGGAACTCCTCCTCGGCGACGGTGTCGATGCCCAGGTCTTCTGCGAGGGCGGCAGCTGCAGCAGCGGGTTGTGGTGGTGCTGAGGCGGGGTTGGGAGCTTCGGTGATGAGCTGGCTTAGCAGAGATTCGTCCTCGAGCGTGAAATCGTAGCCATATTCGTCGTCAGAGTCGAGCGAGAGCGATGCTGCCATTGTCGTGCGACTTTGGAGTCATGTCGGTGTTTGGTGAGGTGATGCGAAGTCCTTCTTCCGATGAAGGCGTCACGACTCAGCGGGGAGATCGCCGCTAAAAACACGACAAACGCGTTGGAGGAAGTGGCGATGGGAGGTGACGGCGTGGATGTGCTTTTAGTGCTTGCAGATGCTGTAAGCGGAACTTCGCCGTCTGTGATTGGGCCCTTGGGCTCGCTGGTGCCTGGGAGTTCCTGCACTGGGAACAGGCAGCGCTGCCATTGAACTAGCACCACTAAACC